GTGAAGACCTGTGTGCTTCAGAATTCCGGGTTGGGCTCGATGTTTTTGGTGTGCTGGGCACGGGAAACCAAGCGAAATCGTTGATGAAAAACCTTGCGGAATCGATGATAAAAACCTAGCGGAGAACCTAGCGGAGAACCTAGCGGAGAAAATAGCATCCCAACCGATTCCTAGCGGGTCCGATAGAAAATGCCAAGCGCACATGGTATTTTCAAGCGCAGCAGAATCGATTGGTATTTTCAAGCGAAATCCAGTGTTTTTTCAAGCGTGCGATGGTTAGGGTATAAGTAGAGTTACCTTAGTTATAACCCTAGTTACTAAGCCCCATGATCCTTTAAGTGTGATATAAGGATCTTACCAAATTCAGAGTTGGGGTCTTGAAAGGGTTCTAGCAGGGTTGTTGTGAGGGTTCTCACAAGTCTTGGTAGCGGGGTCTAATTATTAGAATAGGTTTTGGGGCTATAATGCAGCAATTTTTGGTGCCTGAATATTTAGAATAGGGTTTTGGGTCCCATTATACTCTAACTAAGATAAGGAACCCCCAAGATAGTATTGGTAGTGACCTGGGCCCCGATATTACTCTGAACCTTGCCACCTTTCCAGGAGAAGGACTGAGGACGACGACTGGGGAAGCAACGATGCTTGCTGTCGCATGAGGCCCACCCAAGAGTCTCCATGATAGTAGGATCCATAATAACATGATTTGAGGTATGGGTGGTTGTAAAAATTGTGGTCCCTTTTCGGGTACCCTAAATATTAGGTGCCGAATTCTAATAAGGACCCAAAAAGGGACCATAGTTTTGACAACCACCCATATGGGTAGTTGTCAAAACTAGGGTCCCTTTTTGGGTCCTTATTATAGTACGGCACCATATACTGTGGTTGTCAAAAAGGTACCCTAATTTTGACAACCACCCATATATTTCATTAGGTAATTAAAGGATTTTGGAACGGCATATTGGTGTCGGATACCAGAGCAGTGGCTTGCTGCTTCTTAAGCTACGGAGCTCATGGTAGCCATACTGGGACGCCATCGGTCAGACCCTAAGCCCTAAGACTAAGACCCCCCATACCCTAAGCCCTAACCCTAAACCCTAAACCCTAAACGCTAAACCCCCCAAACCCTAAGCCCATGGTCAGCGACGGAATAGCAAAGCTCCTGTCCGAACCAGGCTGAAAGCTTCGCCTGAATCTCAATATAAGGGGTTGATGATTAGGAATAGGGTTTGGGGGTATATTATTGTCATGTAGTGACATAGGTTATTCAGACCCCACATTTGCTGACAACTTGGATGCAAGCCTGCGCCTTTCTCGAGCCACGGCCAGGATTCGGGGGGTCTTGATTTTGGAGATGAAGATTTTGGTGCTTCGAAACGAGTTACTATGGACTACGGCTGAGGGCTCAGGGTAGGGATGGGTGTCTAGGGTGTGGCACTTCGCGCGCAGAGCACTTAGTCCTTAGATACCTCAGATACTCCCTTTTTTTCCTAGCTACCACAGCGACGCCCTTGAAGCACTGCAGAAAAGGATCCGAGTCCTCGAAAAACGACCCCTGGACTTTAAATCCCCAAACCTTAAACCCTAAACCGTAAGCCCCAAACCCTAGACCCTAAACCCTAAACCCCATAAAGCCCTCTAGCCCTAAACCCTGAATCCCTAAACCCCAAGCCCTCCGCCAAATCGGCCTTGTCCCCGACCTCTTGCCAGCAGGCATATCGGCCCTCAGCATGGCCACTCCCACAAAGCACAAAGGACTTGGAAGAGGGCTGGGTAGCAGATTTCTACTTGTTGTGTAAAGAACGTACCACTGCTGGAGCTATGATGATAATGATGATGATGGTGATGATGACGACGAAGAGGATGATGCTGCAAGTGGTGGCGGTGGTGATGATGATGATGATAGTGGTGGTGGTGATGGTGATGTAGATGGTGGTTGTGAGAACAGCAGTGCTGGTGCTGCTGCAGCTGGTGAAAGTCGTGCTGGGGGTTCCGGCTGTGCTTGCGGTGCTGGTGGATTACCCATCAGTGATTGTGGTGCTTGCTTCGGTGCTGCTGGTCGACGACGAACACAACCACGGCTAATGCATGCTAATTACTGCGTGTACTCGTCCTGTGCCCGTACTAGTAATAGTGTTATTTGCAGCAGTCGTCTTGTAGGACTGGTCGCCGTAGTGGCAGTACTTTCAGTGTACCGGGCAGTGCGTCGTACATTCGCAAGGTCATCTTCTGGCAGCGGCATCTCCGTGGTGGTCAAAACACGCGGCCAGTGCACCTCGCGCCGGCGCCTCCGGGGAGTAGCCCCTCGCAGACACCAACAGCGACAGAAAGTCCTTTGAAATCAGCACCTCCTTCAGGAGCGCTAAGGTTGCGGAATCGCCCCCTGGAAAATGCAAGTCAATGCAGATTAGGGCGGTTTGGGGACACGCCAGGGGCTGCTGAGCGGTCAATGCACGACCAAGATTTTGGTAAAGTCGTACTTGCCAGCCATCCCCCAAAATGCTACGGTGTCGTTCGGCGCTACATGCACAGGGCAGTGGTCGTAGCCAAAACAGAAGCGATCTCGTTCGAGCCGGCGACCTTCGCCCAATTCACCCAGCCGATGAAAAGCTCCAGCCCCGGATTGAGGCCAGCGCGGCCAGTGTAGTCGAAGCCCCCATAGATCGAAGCAGCTTCCAAGTACCCATCCTGAACCACAGTTGGGACGGCGTTCAACGTGATCTTTCTGGCTCCGTATCGGGTAGCATCCAGCACATATGTATATACATACGCAGACATACATGCATGCATACATCCATACATCCACACATTCATACATTCATACATGCGTACATGCATACATGCGAACATGTATGCAAGCGTACATGCAAACACGTATGCAAGCATACATGTATACATGAATGAGTACATACATACTGCATACATGCATGCATGCATGCATACATACATACATACAAAATTACATACATAATTACATACATACATACATACATACATACATACATACATGCATACAACATAGATGCATGCATGCATACATACATACGTACATACGTGCATAAATACATACAGTTATAGACAGATAGATGCACGTATGTATGTATGTATGTATGTATGTATGCATTACATATGTACACATACATATGCCGATGCTACATTCCTTTGAACAGCGGCCCAGCATCCCAGAACTTCACCCACCCGGGTCCGGGTGCTGCGTCCCGGCAGGCCAGCGGGGAGCTCGGGGGCACGTAGTAGTGCGGGTTACCCGGGTTCAGGCTGAAGCCATAGGCCTCCTGGCAACGGTTTAGGGTTTAGGGTTCAAGATTTAGTGTTTGGGGTTTAAGGCTTAGTGTTTAGGGTTTGAGGTTTAGTGTTTAGGGTTTTTTGGGGGGGGGTTTAAGGCTTAGGGTTTAGGGTTTCGGGTTCATGTTATGGGATTGTCCTGGATGCAGACTTGGAAGCAGCCCCACCTCTTCACGCGCAGCAGAGGCGACGCCAGGGGATCCGTGCAGCCACATACTCTCGGGCACGCCATACGCAGCAGAGTCCCCGCCTCTGTCACCGTGTCACAGAACTGCTCCATGTCCTGACAGCTCGTCACGTTCTCTTGTTCGAGCTGGAATGCTGCCATCCGCAGAAAGGCCGGGAGAAGTAGGCCTGATGAGTAGTCGGCATCATCGTCCGCCGAGTAACAGGAGGAAGTCTCCCTTGCGAACTCATCCAGAGTGGCTTGTGTCTTCTCGGAGAACGATGTCAGATCCTTTCATCTGCGTGCAGTGCACAAATCAAGACTTCTGGTCTGGTCTTTGCTTGGTGCTCTTTTTCTGCGGACCCTACAAGAGTTGAAGCATGCCGAAGCCAACTAGAACCATCCTTCTTTCGGGCTGCCCCACAAAGGAATCATACAAGGGACCTGCCAACAGTGCCCTGGTTGGCTAAGGCGTTCCCAGACCCTGCAAGTACGAAGCACAATGGCGCTGAGATTTTTCAGTTTGATATTGAGGCTCCTCCTACCGAGACCAAGGCCCTCTTGTAGGCAACCAAACTCTAAGACTTGACCATCAGAAGAGAGCTCAAAAAGCATCTGTCCTGCGACAACCACACAAGACGCTCCCTGTCAGGATCAGATTTGTTCCGGAAGGCCAAGTCCACCGCCACAATCTCACTGATGGTTTGGTTGGCCTGGTCCTCCATTTTACGTGTAACGAACCTTAGCTATTCCGGAGCCCCTTGAAGCACAACTGCGCGCTTCATAAGAGACTTGAACTCAGTGACGTTGGTTCTGCACCTTCATATAGATCATGGCATCTGTTTGACAGGTGCCATACACAGCACTCCGTCCCTCATCTTAAGAAGGCATAATTATGCTTCGCAAGACCCAGGGCAAGCCTTCCCTCATGTCAGAAACAAGTCCCATACTAAATCAGTATATAATACTTCATTAAGAAGTTGCTTATAGAATATAAGGTAGTAACATACAACATCATATGCAGCACATCATAGAAGACTTCTCAAAGACCAGAGACCCCAGGGACAGGCCGTCGTTGACGGAGGTGACGAAGTCCAAGTCGCCGAAGCAGAGCTCCCGCTTCGCGAGCAGCATCTGCACCGCGGTCGGGAGATCTCAAGAAAACTGGGTTTTTTTGTTTGAACCCTCTTTTCCGTCTGCCCAAAGGTTAGTTGGAATGCCAAGCTGGTTGAGGGGGTAAGTTCGGGAGAACACAGGGCTTAGGGTGTAGGGGTAAGGGTAAGGCAGAGCTTCTCCGGAGAAGAAACCACCCAAGACACATGCATTTTCGGGCGTCTCAAGACACTAGATACACTAGCAGCACCAGCACTCAAGCAGGATGAGCACCGCTCGGTTCCTGGTGCCAAGGGCAAAGAGGTTGGCCGACCCTAGATCGGACATGACGAAGGACTGGGCGACCGCCAAAGACTATTGAGGAAACATGATGAAACCAGTCGTCCGAAGAGCTGTGCAAGTGGCTCCCACATAAACCCCGTCATGATGATTTCGCGTTATATCGTTTCCCATGCTTGTGTCCTGACCCGGCCTGCTGCGACAAGGGCCGCAGCAGGAGCGCGTAAGGCAGCAGCAGCGATGCAGCCAAGAGGGATGCAAGCACCAGGTTCTCAGCACGGTGACAGCGGCGTGCGCGCCTCAACTGCACGGGAGGGAGCTCCTGAATCTGCTGCTGCAGCCTGGTCGGCAGAAGCCCGGAGAAGATGAACTCGTCCACGTGCAACACGGCCTCGAGCGCCACTGAGTTCAACATGAGTTCGGTGATGGACGTCGTGCCGGCCAACCAGAGGCTGCCTGCCACGAGCAGTGAACCACCAATGGCTGCGCGGCCTAAACACACGAAGGCCATGGCTGCGGCACGTCGGCCAGAAAGAGGCCGCTCTGAAGCTCCTGAACTTAGGAAGACGCCCTGCAAAACGAACCAGATGCTGCGGAACTCGCGGTAGATGCACAAGTTCCACAGCAAGATGCAAAGCACTGCCAGCAGAACCCCAGGCTCGAAAGTGGAGTCCTCGGACTGCTTGGAGGATCAGGAGACTTAGTAAGTAAGGTAATACGTCCCCTGAATGGGGTTATAAGTAATTATCAGTATAGTTACCTTATTTATAATCAAAGTTACTAAGTCCCATGATCCTTTCAGCGCCCTCAACCCCAACAGATCCCCTATAGAACCCTTTAAGGAGCCCTTTAAGGTTACTAAGTCCCCCTGATCCTCGAACTGCAGCGTGCTGAGGCCCAGGAAGCTGTTGATCTCGCCCACCAGCGCAGCCTGACCCGTGGAGAAGATCAGGGAGTCGTCTTCGTGGCAGACGCGCGTAGCCAGGCTCCTCTGTGCCAGGTCCATGTTCTTCGCATCGTGCGCAGAGCTCCGGCGCCAGATCCGAGCCCCTTCGACTTGCTCATCGAAGCCGTTGCCGAGGAAGGAAGGCGAAAGGAGGATGCTGGTGAAGAGGATCTGCATCGCGGCGTTCAGGAGCAGCAGCAAGATTGAGAAGATGCCGTCGGAGATGGACTGCCAAGTCAAAACCAGGGGTAAGCTCCAGGCACTCTTCCGATCGAAGCAGACCATGTTGACTTCACCAGAACTTTGCAGTTCCGTCGCACGTGTCTCGCCTGCTTTGGCGCCGACAGCCCCCTTCACTGCATCTTCCTGTCGCCCGAACCCGAACATCGTGGCGCTGCCCGAAGCCGTGATGTCCACGGCGTCTGCAATCGGATCCTTCTTGGCGTTCGTGCTCCGAGGGGATTTGTTGATTTCGGCGGAGTTCGCGAGGTCCACTGACTGCAGATCGACAAGCTCGACATCGACTGTGTTATTGTTGGATGGAACCACCGAGTTCAATCGCGCATCCAACCTCTGGATCTCGCTAGCAAGCTCCTCACGCAACTTGGCCAACGCGCAGTCCACGTACCCTCTGTCGGCGGGCACGCTCGGCATGTTGCTGGGCTAAGTGAGTCTGTCCAACAACCACGACCGATATGCAGCTGGAAATGGCCGCACACTGACATTCCAAGTGAAGCAGCCCAAACTCTCTTAAGGCGCTCATGGCTTGCAGCAACTTCCTGCCATGCGTCTTGCAACAACCCTGCCTAAATGCCAAATGGCATAATTTAGCATGATATAGTAAAACATAATCTAATATGGCTGGTAGAATATCACTACAACATGAACAGCCACCAGCGACAAACCTGGCCCTTCTGCTCAGCCCAAGGCGGTCAGCAGCTCCAGCAGCACCACACCGAAAGAGAACACCTCCCAATTTGAAGTTGAGCGATTTGGTTAGGATTTAAAGTCCTACGGGTAGAGTTTAGGGTTTTATGTGTGTCCTTCCAAACAAGAACGAAGGGCATGGGGGCGTGCGTCATGGGCGCAATGCCGTGTTAACTAAACCCTGAAGCCTAAACATGACAACCTAACCCTCTAAACCCCAAACACCTAACCAATAAACCCTAAACCCGAAACACTGAACCCCAAACCCTAAACCATAAACCCTAAATTGCTGAGACTTCGGTCAGACCCTCAGTTCGTACCATAGTTAAAGGTGTGGCCTTTTCAATCACAGTTGCGGCGTTTAAGTGTCTAGGGGCTTGGGGTGCATACCCACCGTTTTTGTCAGGTTTAGGGTTTTGCGTTAAGGGCCCCTAAACCCTAAACCTCTAAACCCCTAAACCCTAAACCCTAAAGCCTAAACGGCCAAAACACCGCTGCAGGCTTCAGAGCTTATTGGGTTCAGGAGGGTTTGGGCTGGTCGAGGCTTTAGGGTGGAATGCACTTGGAGGGGCAGGAGACTTAGTAAGTAGGTTATAAGTAGAGTTACAAGTGTCCTAAATAGAGTTACCCCAGTTATAACCCCTCTTATAACAGAAGGGTCGATCCTGGGGCGTGCTTTTGTGTATAAGGAGTTTTTGAAGTTACGTAGGCCTTTGGATCGGGCTCGTGATGCTTACTTGCTGCTCGCAACCTTCTGTTCACGCATATTTTGTTGAATTGATTGATGTCTGTATCCCCTTGTCAAGGATTCTTGTCATGGATTCTTGTCGTGGTGTGTTGGTTTGTTGGTTTGTTAAATTTGTTTTAGTTTTCCTTTACTGTGTTTATAAACACGACGGCTGTTTATAAACACAGGCGCTGCTTATAAACAAACGCTTCGCTCGAGGTAGGGTGGGGGGCGGGGGCGCCAGAGGTCTTGGTATGGTGCGGGCAACATCCAACACCTGCCACCCCCCCCCTCCCCCCCCCTCACCACCAGCACGTTCACCACAAGGTACAACCGCCGACCAATCCACCATCCGCCCGAGACGCGCGCAGCCATTCCCAATTGACGCCAACCCTCAAGTCGTAAGTGCTGGTCACAAAACTTTTTCTTAATGGAGGAAAGTGTGGAGTTAATGTGAGATACCCCAAGACCTGGTTGGATAAATTGAAATCAATAAACACTGGTATTTGCGGTGATTTCTGCTTGTCCTTCTATGAACACTTTCACGGGTTGTTTATAAATACCGGGCCTTGTTTATAAACTTGCGGGTTGTTTGTAAACATGTGGGTCGCTTAAGCGCAACAGAAATCGGGCCCGTGTGTTTCTCTGTTGTGTATACAGAGATAAACGCACTGCAGCAGCGTGCGGCTGGTACGTCCAGGCTCATCGAGTGAAACCACAAGATGTTTGTGTTTAGTATTTCAACTATACAAAATCTCTTGTAAGGCTATGTGTAGGGATGGAGAGTGTGCTACGCCTGGACCAAACCGGTTTGAGGAACTATAGGAGGACGATCCGTTATGGCTTGGAACCGACCCGGTATCCAGTGCAGCATTTTTCACTAATCCAAATGATTTTGATCCAAATACTGGCTATTTCGAAGGGGTACGGGGTACCTTATGAACAAGGGTATCGGAAGAAGCCAGAATCGGATAAGCATCAACACAAGTAGGATTCCAGTCTAGGACAGCAGCCAGATCTTCATCGATTACAGTTTGTCTTTGGTAGTCTTTTATACAGGTACATAGGCTGAACCCGCTCACATCTTTACTTTGCTTCACCGCGCAAAAACAAGGGCCCTTATGTGCATCCACATTTCGTTAACCCTATGCCAATGCAATTCGACAGCTAATTAGGCTGAATCTCTACATTGGTGTTTCAAACACTGTTACCAACAGCGGTGTTGGCTAAGCTTGCTTTGGGTAGACAGTCCAGAGTCTTAAAGGCCCGATTATCAGAGCTGCATAGAGAAACTGTCGAGCTTATGTAGCCTACCTTAAGACGTTCTTTAGAGAGTCTTGAATTCATCGATATTTACAGCGTTTTCTGTGTAAGATCTGCTACTCAAGAACCCAGATTAAGAGGCTCGACCTGCACACTGGTGTGGAGCCTGTTGGAGAGCGATTTTGCACAGCTCGAATAAGCTGTTCCGAAAAACACTTGTGATGCTTGCTTTGTGGTATGTGCTTTACGCGACACAAAACACAAGCTCCTGCTTTGGAGCCATTAACGTTGAAACCCGATAAAAAGCACTGAAACCAAACCCAGGCCCCACAGTCGACCGCTCTCTCTCATAAACGGCTTAGTAAGTCCCCTGCCCCTCCAAGTAAGTTTGAAGAACTAGCAAAGAGATTCCTCATGATGCAGGCGCCATGACCGAAGCTCTTCGCATGCAGAAACGCAAGAGTAGTGTTTTACAGATTTCGATGAAAGCTTCGCAGAGAAGCCTTGAGACCTAACATACGTTTTTTACACCCTCCACTGTCCACACCATACACCAATGGCCAAAGTCTGGCACCGGCAGACATTTTGAGCTCAGCGGAAGGGGTATGGGCACTGCATGCCTTGGAGACCAAGTGCCGCACAAACTTGACTCCTCCTCTGGTACTCGGCAGACCCAAGTGGGGTTGCTCTCGACATGGCGTTTCCCTTAATAAACCGAAACCTCAATCCAAAACTTCTAAGTCCTAAGGCACGCTTTTGGGACTTATATTCATGACTTATGAGAACTGACGAAACGCCCTTGGCAGACAACTCTCCAGCTGTGTGTTTACTCAGAGCTCATGCCCCAAACTCTCCACCTTAAGCCCTTAACCTAGAACCCCCATGACCTCTGCGCCTAGTGGGCACCAGGGGGCTTCTTTTAAACAGCATCGCAGCACCTCTCCTGCTGCGCCGGCGACCGATATCTCGGCTGCTGGCGCTCAGGATTCACAGTATTATCGGACCCTGAACAGTAGGGGGGCGGGCGGGCGCAAGGGTGGGAGATTACTGGGACCGACAATGGTGCAGAGTTGTCACTATTGCGGGTTTAGGGTTTAGGGTTGGTTAGTAGATTATCATTCGCGTTGTCATTATCATTGCTTACTCAAGAGGATAATGCGCTGAGGATTGCAGGTTGAGGGCTCGGCCTATGGACGAGTACCAAACACACCCCCGCGCTAGTCTTCAAGGCTTAAAACCCTCTAGGCCCTAAACTCCAGAAATGCCCTAGACCCCATGTGTCCTGCACATGCTTGGCACATAGGATTTGAGGATCCATGGAAAGTCCCCTAAAAGGTCGGAATAGGGTTCTTAGTTCTTAGGGTTTTGGGCTGTGGCTGTTTTGGGTTTTCGGGTCTTCAGTCCAGGGGCCACAGACTCCAATATCCCTTAATTTTAAGGAATAGATACCTTAAATCATATTTACGGTTCCTACTATAGTTTAAGGTATACTCCTCAATTAACGGATCTTGGAGTCCCCTCAACCCTTAACCTTATAGATCCCTTATACTGCCCCTTAGAGGAACCCTTATATGGGAGTTTCCAAAAACTGGGGTTCCTTATTTTGGGATCCTTATTATAAGGATCCTACTATTTAGGGTCATATACAGTATTTAGGGTCCCCTATTTTTCGAAACCCTAAACCCTAAACCCTAAACCTTAAACCCTAAACCCTAAACCCTAAACATATATCCCTTTAAAGGAACCCGAGGAGGCCCCTGAAGAGTAGGAGCCTTTCGGGGGCTTGAGGGATTCAGGGATTGCTTAAAGGATCATGGGACTTCGTAACGAGGGTTCCTTAAAAGGGCTCCTTAAAGGGATCTACAAGGGTTCCTTATAGGCTTCTATAATGGATCTATAAGGGTTTAGGGTACTTAAAGGATCATGGGACTTAGTAACGAGAGTTATAAATAAGGTAACTATACTTATAATAACTTACAACCCCAATTAGGGGACTTATAACCTTATATACTAAGTCCCCTGATCCTCCAAGTAGACCCTAAACCCTAAACCCTAGAGATCCCTTTAAGGAGCCCTATATACATCCCTTTAAGGAGCCTTTTTAGCTAAGTCCCATGATCCTCCAAGTGGGGTCTAAACGACGGGGGAGTCGGGGCTTCGGGGGATTGTAGGCGTTTACTTAAAGGAGTCTTGGGGCTTAGGTAACTTTAAAGGGCTCCTTAAAGGGTTCTATAGGGCATCTGTTGGGGTTTAGGGTGCTTAAAGGATCATGGGACTTAGTAATTGGGGTTATAAATAAGGTAACTATACTTAGGTTTACTTATAACCCCAGGTACGGCACTTATGACGTTACTTACCAAGTCACCTGATCCTCCAAGTAGAGTTTGGGGGAGTCGGGATTTAGAGATGAGCCGGGTTTTGGGATTTCTAAGAAGCTTCCGGGGGGAATTAGGGTGCTGTATCTTCATTGAAAGGATTCGAGCGAATTAAGGAATTCACTATTGGGGGTTCAAGGATTTCAGTTTTTGTACAGGTTCGGGGGGGAGGAATTTACGAGATTTAGTGTAGAGCGGCTGCGAGGATCGGTTTTGGGTTTAGTCAGGGTTTAGGGTGTAGGGTTTGGGGTTTAGGGATCTATCCGAACTGGCATTTAGGGTTCAGGGTACAAGGGCTTAGTCTGCTTTCGGGTTTACAGATTAGCGTACAGGGTTTACGGTTCCAGGATCAGCAGTCTCAC